GAAATGAATGCCACAACCAGTCTGCCGCTAAATTATGACCTCAGCAATCGATCTTCGGCGAGACTCTGTACAGCTGATCTATGACCAAATAGCGATAATACTCATGATCGGTCCTTCCCACTCACGTTGAGACCAAGACTTCAGTCAATCCGAAGTGAGCGATAGTTAGAACCACGGCAAACACCCACATCTCGAACAGCCTAAATGACCTGCTCTTCCGATCTCCGGGAGAATTCAGCACTCGAAGGCAGAGTATCCCAGCAACATGCACAATACTATGCATACAGTTTTCGAATAGCTTGAACGACTCGAATATCCGTTGCATCTCTTAAGTAGCACGTGAACAGCGGTGAAGAATGCATTAAGCGTAGGACGACATGCATGGAAAGTCGAGCATGGAAGCAAAGCTGCCGTGGTACTCCCGGGAGGGTCTCTGAATGCACGAAATATGTCCAAGGCATCCAAAGGCTAGCCACCTCACCACATATGAGTTTCTGGTGCGTCCTCAAATGGCCATAATGTCATGTACGTGCCTTTTCCGTCCAAAGCAAAATCTTAGAAAGAGCGGCATATCGTACAGAGGACAAATACTGCCGAACCTGGTTGTAGGCAGACGGTTCGCAGGACCATTTTTGTCTCCATCTGCAGAGTGAGGGTGCATTATTTATGAGGACGTTCCGGGATCTCCTCAGAGGCTCAAGCTTGCGAACGTCTGGTCGAAAAACTGACGCGTGTTTTGCGAAGCTACTGGCAGAAATTAGCTCTCAGGGGTGGTACATGCTAGATTATGTAGGAAAAGCGTTGGCAAGAGATCGCAATGTCATTGATGATAAACCGGTTTGCCAAGAAGATTCCGAGGGCTCGGGAAGATCCGATTGGACAGATACCCATTGGCTAAGTTACGGTGAACTCCGGCTGGTTTCCAGTTCCAGGAACAGTCATGTTGGTTGACATGTGAGAAAGACAGACAGATTAGAAATATTGGTCTGCGTACTTTCCCAGGCTCCACCACGTTCAGCCCCAAACCATACAAGTCGTTGTGATTAGCCGTCTGAGAGGTCCCATGACCACGAAGCTTGGTTTCATGGTTGAGGGGCGGCCAGCCGTACTGTCTTCAGGGGAGATAATGTTGCAGTCTTTGGCCAATGACGTTGGTTAGGGATCGGATTTGACTTTCAAAGATTAGGTTCAATGGCTGGATCTTGTAGATCAGGAGGACTCCTTTTTGAACTGGGGCAAGCTGGCCAAGAGATTGGATCCTTGCCATCAACGAACGATGAATTAGTACTATCTCTGGTCCTGACTCGTTCGCATTGACATGCTCCAGCAGGCCTGAACCGACCAAGGATAGCGTATGAAGGGGGCCTCAACACTGGACAGGACGATCGTTGCGACATTTAAATATGGAGAAAAGTAAATTTGGCAAAGATCATTTAATGCCGCCGAGAAGCTCAGCGCCGGCTCGAATAAACGGTCATGCTCCTAGCGACTGCTTTGACCAAGCACATTGATCCCTGCCTTGCATGATAAAAAACGGTCAGTAGAAAAGTCGGAACCGCAACCACGATACATGGATGAAATTTTGTTTTCTTGAATTGCATCCGAAACTTGACGAGCGCACTTCTCGCTTGTTTCAGAATGTACCGGCTTTCTCGTCTATCACCATTTCCCGAGAACATTATTCACCAAGAAAATGGAAGGCCAGCCTCGGAGTCTAAAGTACGTAATAAATACAAGCTCAAACAGGAGATTTGTCGTGGTTTAGCAACTCAAACCCCTGTCCTTCGGGGGCTTTGCCGTAACTTTCGGGGCATTGGCCCACTACTAGTATCCAGCAATCATTTTTACAGATGATGTGGGGTCTAAGCCCGACACCCTCAGACATCAGGGTATCATTGATCAATGGACGATGGCTAGGAACCAAACAAGGTCAAAGTGGTCGCAGAGAGGACGCGTCACCACCAACCTCTCTCAGACCAGTCTACACCAGTCTACATAATTGATGGACTCCGACCTAATCATGATTGGTTGGATGCTGCTCGAAGGCAGTTTACATGGTGACGCGCAATGGGACCAATTAACCCTTCCTGGTAGGGTATTAGGCCGTTTGGTCATCCATCTGCTATTGCCATTTCTTCCTGTCTCTGCAGGACAGGAAGATTATCATTAGGAACATCACGACAAAACTCTGGTATGTTTTTAATCCATGTCGCAAACCCATTTTGATAGCGGCAGGACTAACCGTGACGATCCATGGATAGACTTGTCATGAATGAGATGGACTGTCCCAATATTTGTGACTCTGAGAGCAAGTTGTTGCCCCTGTGCACTGCAAGCACATGCTGCTCCCACGAGCGCCACTCCTTTCCGATGGTAGCTGAGATACTGACTAGTATGAGCTGCAACCTCTTCCTAGTAGTCGTAACTTTAGTAGGTGCCCCTCGAGTCTCAGGGTCTTTGACGTGGGATGCCTATACGTACGTAGTAGTAATTTGGCTGCGTTAGCTCTTTGCTTACCTAAGTATGGGCACGTTGTCACATTTTGGTATTGTTACACGCTGCAACATAATTGCATTTCCGGCCAGGATGATTGGCTCTCCTGACATCCGGTCCAAATCTGCAAGCATCAACGCAGCAGTGGACAGAACTGAAAGCAATGATACAAATGCTGACACTCACAATGGATGCTAAGGAAGAACACATTCATGACGCGACCACTTTATTACTGCTTGACATCTGATTGCTGACATGCCTAGGGGGACCTGCCCCCCCAACTAGGTCAATCGCTTTAACTAGTGCGTCAAGATGTGTTTAGTTCAGGTGTTACCAAAATCCTTTCCAGCTCCAGCGCCATGGACATTCATTCAAGCTTCTCCCCACTTTGTCAGTCCCGGTAATACTTCCCAATTGAATCATTAACCAAATACTGATTGCCTGATGCTAGTTGATGTTGGCGTAGAGGGAGGCTAGAAAGACAGAGAGGCAGCCCGGCTGAGGTACGATTTATCTTCAATCTCATGCCAACACGAAGAGCAGATTGACGACTCCTCCTGAGTGGCTCCATTTTCCCGCCAGTGGTGAAATGCATATTGATGCAAGCCGTCAACAAGCAAGTCGATCTCAAAATAGTTAGATGTGTCTAAGTTCAGGCAAATAGTGGCCAGTCACATCCCTGCAAAATCGAGATCGGGATGCTACATGGGCGAAATCATCGGCTCAAAGGAGGATAGTCATGCATGCGGCGCAGTCAGAAGAAGTGAAAGTGCAGGTGAGGGAAAGGGAGAAGACGCGCTATCAAATACTGAAAACACGGAGGCAGCACTGGATTGATTGGTATCCAGCTGGTAATAATACCACCTTGGAACCCACTTTGCTGCATGATATAGTAGAGAGCGCGTGTAACGGGCCAGCAAATGTAACAGAAGCTAAGCAGTGGATCTCCGTTAGCTCAAAGTCTAAGTAGCATCACTAAAATATGCGTTCGCCTGATTACCTGATGCGTGTTAGTTAGAGGCAACAGATCATTCCAGCCTGATAACCCTAAGGTTCAAGGCCCAGCAGGCCTGGCCACAGCCTGCGGTACCTCAAACTCAGAATCCCCCTCCCCTAACTCGGGGCAGCAAATCCTGAAATTATGCGTCAATGGTCCATAAACCCCCACAGCCAGCCAGACAGCCAGCCAGCCAGCCAGAGAGCCAGAGGCCATCCCTCACCTTCACTGTCATGTAGATATCGTGTGTCTGTAGGCCTGCTCTCTGCTGGATGTCAATTTAGCTTATCTTCTCCTTGGATCTGCATTCTTTTACACTGTCCTCTTGCCGTAAGACCCGTGCGAGGCAAGGATAGTAGCAACCACACATTCCTGCGGCTAAGGCAAGATCGGCGTAGACACGCTCCTGGCACTTTCGCTAGGCCAGGCTATGACCGTCAATTCTATCTCTCCTGAGACCCAAGCACACCTTCCTCCCAACAAGCGTCAGCAATCGACATTTCATTTTTTTGGGCTTGCCTCTCTTCCCTTCCCGCTATCGCCGACGACTGATTTTCGTCGAGTGTCTATCTCCATTGACTGTAGGAGAGGTTCCTGTGGAAACCCCTCAGCAGCCCCCGTTCGTTTAGAGAGGTAATTGCATGCATTAATCAACCTTCGTTTCTACCGGTCGTCCAACCGAGCCTCGTCTTATCTCATTTTCGATTCATTCGGGTTCAATTCTTTCTCTTCAAGTTGTCGCCACTCTTTTGGATAAGTTTCTAGTAAATTCAAACTAATAGAGCTTCAAGGTATGCACTCGGAGAGCCCTTTCGGCCGCCTGCTATTTGACTGAAGTCGTGTCTTCATCACTCGATCGTTTGGTCTGCTACAATTGGAAGCCCTTGTTCTTGTTGCTATCAGCCTGTCCCTCTTCCCTGAGAGTGTGTTCGCTGATTTACCTCTTGTATAGGTTATCCTCCCATCGTCTTGTTGCTTGTATACCAAACTTCGTACAGCACTTTCGCTTGCCTAAGAGTCCTCCGAGCTCTACACTTCACGCCTGGAAGGCTGAGCACAATCAGAAGAGATGGCTGCCTTGGTTCAAGCATACCCACAACAGACATCAACGGTGACAATGCTTCAAAGTCGGCCCTCCTCCTCGGGAGCCTCTTTTCAACAGCAGCATTCTACTTCTCGAAGTCAACAAATGCCAAGACTCCCTTCTTCCTCGAACGCTGGCAGTTATCGGGGATTGTCCTCTGGTCTCGTGGCTCCATATGCATTTACAAGTACTCCTCAGCTCACCAATAACGCTGCTTTCTTACAAAACGCTGGATCGCCACATTTTCGACCCCAGAACCGTACACTGTCCGCTCCAAATTTAGTAGCTGGCAATCAGCAGCCTTTGTCTGGAGGATCTACGTTGTCTCCTCGACAACGTATTGCGACCTCTTCGCCCCTATCAACATCCTCCTCTTCTTCCAATTCCCTGCAGCCAAGCAAAAAATCAATGGACGATGCATCAATCATGACTAGAGAAACTTCCGTAGATGTTCCTGCACGGCCCAAGTCCACATTGGGTGTCTCCCCTTCAGGCTCAACGCAATTGACTGGTTCACTCACCTCTCCCAAGCCATCGCCCGACAGATATAGGAATGCCAGCCGCCCCCAGGTCGACCCCTCTAACAACAGTGGACCAAGCAGAATCCAGGCTGCGTCTGCATCTGCATCGCCATCTGGCTCTGGTATGCTTGCTGTTGGGCATCTCTATAGTGGTCAAAGTCATACGCCAAATGGTTCATCAGCCCGAACATCACAAACAATGAGAAGTGATAGGCCCGGGCAAACGAGAAATGCTAGTACAGATGATTTGAATCTGCCAAGACCTCACAGCAACACAGAGCTTGCTCAGAGATATCGTCGCCGAAGCCTCGGCAGCTTTGAAGCTGCGGGGGATATGTCAAAGTCCTCATCACAGACATTATCTCCTCAGATACATGCTAATCGTGGCGAGACTAGAGAGAGGCGGCAAAGTCCCGAAACACAGCGACCAGTGTCATCCCATGCTCACCATGGTAGCTCCGACAGTGTTTCATCCACCAGGTCTACGAGATCCACCAGTCAATATTCTGTATGTTCATACTCCTACCATCCTCGATATTCTAGCTGACTTTAGTAGACACGCAGGGAACATGGCCTCGTGACAGGCGTTGCTGTTGCCGGCCCTATGCATGCTCACTCCATTTCAAAGCAGGACGTCAAGCTTGTCAATGTCCCTCCACGAAGCGATGCCAGCAAACGATTGACCAATCCTTCACCTCTCTCTAGACCTTCAACCACAAATGATGCCTCTTCACAGCCGACGCCGGCACCTCAAGAATCACAAAACTTAGGGCTCTCTCAATCAGCACAGCCAAAACAGGAAAGCCCAGCTGCTCAGCAGCTGGCAGCAATCAACAAAGATGCCAAAAAGAAGTCAAAACTGCGACGGGCCTTCTCCTTCGGAAGCGCCAACCAGCTTCGACGAGCATCGGCATACAACAACAGTGATCAAAATGTCATAACAGACCAAATTTCCAAACGGAATTCTAAGTTTGAAGACGAGATGGATCCCGAGCAGGCCAAGATTGCACAAAAACAAGAAGCCGGAGGTTTGGGCGAGAGCATCTACTCTGGCCAGGGTAATTTCTTTACCGGGTCCACTGACAACCTCTCCATACAATCATCTGCCTCATCCGCATCAGTTATGCTGAGAAAGATGGGAAAGGGTGTCAAAAAATCTACTAGGTCCATTGTGGGTATCTTTCGTCCCAAATCTGTCATTGGTGTCCCAGCAGCAGATGGGCCCGCTGCTGGTACCGCTCAAGTGTCAATGGTCACGGTGGAAGCAGAACGGGAAAAGGTCAACATCAATCTGAATCCACATGATCAGGTTGGTGGTGGTACTGGATTTCCAAAGCTTGAACGAAATTCGATTGATGCCGGCACCTCCGTCGACACTGGTAGACTGTCGAATGATACTCGTTCTCGCCGAAGTATAGTGGGTGGAGAGAAGGAGCGTGCCGAAGTTCTCGCCGCTGTGAAGAAGGGCATCCTGAAGCGGAATGACTCTAGTCAATCTTCTCCTGCTACCACACCCCGGGCATATCGGGTTCCTGAGTTCAGCCTTCCTCAAATCCCGCGTGTCAACGATTCTCCCAACTCGAGTGAACCGAGCACTCCTAGTGATGGGGCGCCGCCGCGTTCAGGCCATCGTCGGACTGATTCTGTCACCATCGAAGGTAGCGACTCTGACTACTTCTCATCAATCACACAATTCGCCGCACTCGATGCTCCTGGTGCACCGATGACCCCGCAAAGCTCTCTGGTTCGCAATATCTCCTTCAGTCCTCGCATTCAATTTTACGACACCTGGCCAAGTATGGAGTATGATCGACGAGGTGACATCGCCACCTGCAATCGGCTGACCCCGATGCTCGCACAACAGATTAAAGAAGAACTTAATACTTTTAAGATGGTACGTTGATTCGATTTTGGTTCTTCGGTTCAGCCTAACGTTATCACAGGAAATGGAAGTCCATGAATCTTCCAAAGTGTACACTCATTTCTTCTAATGTGCGAAGATGCTCTGGAATCTTCTCATACCTTTTTCCTCAACCAGAATTCTCAAGACTCCGGCGCCGGGATTGCATAGCGTCACAAGCGTTTTCGATTCTTTATCCACGTTTCGCTAATGAGCATCCACATCTACGATCAGTCGCTGTGTTGTTCATATAGCGGGTTGCCGCTACCTCTTCATCGAAGCATTGACTTGTTCACAAGCATTTGTCACTTAGACATACAAGCATTCAGGTATAGTTGGCCTCTCGAGCAACCATGTACATTTAAAAGCGAGCACTTTATTTTACTGGAAATGAGCACCACACCACACGGCGCAAGGCGTTTGGAACACTGATACACGCTTGTATCACCTCAGTTTCGCACTTTCGAATTCAGAGCGGTATCACCTTCCTTTGATGGACAGATGATGTTTGTGGGACCAAGTTGAAGGAGGTCAGATAAGTGGAGGTTGGAGAGCACTATGGCAGGTTGACACAGTAGCTGAGGGGTGGAGAGATGATGGGCTACGATACTTTTCCTTTGGACTGAGGGAGTTCTCTGCCATACACGCTGTTGTCGACTTGGTTGACTCGTTTTAAATGTGGGAGAAATGAGTCTCGATTGTCTCTGCATAGTTTACTTTTGCACCTTGGGACGATCAGACGAGATTGAATACGGACTAATCGAGGGCTTCATTTTGCCTTTCTTCCTTTCTGCGTTTGCTCGCTTTCTGTGGCTCCAGCAGGAAGACTATCACGATAACGCAGTCCAAATAGGATTTCACACGAACCGCCATGCTGACGAGGTGAGAGGAGGAATGATGCTTTGATAATTGAGTACAGACACTACTAGGTAACAGCTACTCACGCGTCTATTTCAAGTGCAGCAGTTCCTCTTATATTATCCGATTGCCTGGCTGCCTACTCAGTTTGAGCTATCTTCGTGTTGCGAGAGAGAGCTGAATTTCGAGGTGAGACGTCAAACAGGATGTGACATTACTACCTGATTTATGAAGTCTCTTATTTGGACTGGAGACCAGGCAGTACTTCTCATTATTTGGCTTTCACAGGAGCCTCCCTTGTTCTCTCTTTGAAGCTCAGTATCTTGTGCCTCAGTGGGACTCCCGGCTAAGTCACAAAGAAAATCAGTGTTACTCTTATACTGCACAGATTGCCAGAATTGAGGAGAAATATCGTATGCAAACATGCTGTCAACCATACCAGCTACACCGTCATAAACCAACAAGCCAAGAGCGAAAACCTATGCTCAGGTATCAAATTGCACATGGTCTCAAGCCTGCCTGAAACAGACAAGGCGCTGCCGTCCAAGCCAAATGGATTATTGATTTCAACCGACCAGGAGTGAGTTCAGACGACCTGGACTACGTGCTGTGTCTTCGCTTGTAAAGTGCCTTCGATCGTCAAGTACAACATTGAATATTATCTCCACCTTTGCAGAATCCGGGTGTCGACGTGCCCTTGCAAGTCCCTGTGGGGATGCACTGTCCGCTCTTCGCTCCGACTCTACAACTATCGTACGTGCAGCACTATTCGAGCAAGTCAGCAAACGGACACCGAAAACAATGGCGCACCCTTGCGCGAAGTAGTCCGATCAACACGTACCTGGATATCTGCCGCTCCCGGGCACAGACCCGCCGTGGACTTGCCGCCAAACGATGAGCAGGAGCTCGTGGAGATGCACTCGCCAGTGAGGCCCGTGGCGGCGACCGTACACGTGTTGCTTGAATTTGATGGTCCTGGCTTGGGTGGTTCCTGTGAAGTAGAGGTACAGCACTACGAGAATCGGTCACTTCTTCCTGATGCAAAGTTGCAATATGCAAAGAAACTTACCTGAACGTCTGAAGGATCATTGGGACAATACCCAGGGGTAGAGTTGCCGCCGGAGCTCTTACATTGAGCCGTCGTTGTGCATGTGCCCGTCTTTCCGGTCGTCTTGACTGTGCAGGAGTTTCCGCCCGGGCTACCGCCCGAAGGGGTAGGCTTGGGATCGATGGTGCTTGGTGAGGTTGACGGCGCGGGGAGGCTGCTGGGGCCGCTTGGGCTGCTCGGGCTCCCAGCCTTTTCTATGTCCCAAGGAAAGCAGAGTGGTTTGCCGATTGGCATGGAAGCGGACTGGTGTTCCAACATCCCTCAAATCAGTCAAAGTCCCAAGCAAGGCTGAGAAGTTCTGAGGACTTCGGGACTCACGCCGAGGGTAACATCCACAGGCTGCTTGCCACCAATTTTACCAGCTTGGAACTTGATCTCGAAGCCCCACGCGGGTTGGAGCTTCAATGCGCCTTCATATTGATCACCCTTCTCACAAGCTCCTCCACCCTGAGCTGGGACAGGTGTCAGTATCATTGAAGCCATGCTGGTACGCTGATAAGTCTCTTACAAACTATTGCCTCTGCCTTGGCTTCAACATAAGGCATCTTGAGCCCGATGCCGGTTTCTATACCCTGGCCTAAAAAAACGCTTGAGTTAGCTTCCGATCATCGCGGGAACACACAACGCTTAGAAGGTATCTTACCCAAAGCTTCAGCTTGTAGCTTCAGAGCCGGCTCTAAAAACAGCTTAATAGATGCGGAGACCTTGGCTTGCATTGTGAAATCATCTGTCTTGATCGCTGGGGTCCAAGATGAGAACTCATTGTTTGATGGGTCGAGCAGGTCTGCTTGGAGCACAGCAGTTTCGGGTAAAGTAGCCGTGGCGCCGGTCTTGATGGATACAGAGCCTTCGAAGCCGGTTACTTCTCCTCCAAGTTGTATATCAAGCACGGGTCCAACTGTTAAGATACCACCGGGGATAGAGATGCCAGCTAGGGGTATCTTGCCGATAGATTCTTTGAACGCCTCCGCTTTTGAGTTGAAATCACTTGCCACATTCAAGCTGAGGGCTGCTGAAGCCTTGACGCCTTGAGGATTTAGTCGAAACTTCAGGCCTACCGGTATCTGGAACTTGGTTTTGATCACAAACTCGAACTTCATCTTGCCTGCTGTGTAACATGAATAGCAGACGAGATCTCCAGAGACAGGCCCAGTCTTCAACTTCGATTTGAACTGAAGATCAGCAGACATGTCCATAGAGGCGTCCTGAGTCCAGTCTCTCCTTGTCAGACCGAGATCGCTTGACATTGGAACGCTTCCAACACGAAGCTCGTACGAATGCGCAAGATCCTTCCACTCCCCCTGCGTTGCGTTTAGTCGAGCAATATTGCGCTCCTCGTCGTACTCGATTGAATGGACGAGGTACGGGATCCTATAAGTGTTGTTCCCGCAGTCACCTTTGCCGGCGACCATGAGAAACGTGTGATTTTCCGCGCCGTTGACCCAGTCCCACACTCTCTGTGCATATGCAAAGGACGAGTCATCCTCGAATCCCAGCGTCATGCCTTGCGCGTTGCATTCGGCGGATGTGAGCATTCCATCGAACTTCTCCATGGATAAGATGTTTTCATTGTCGCCGGGCATGAAAACCGTCAAGTTGCCAAGCGTGGCATCAGAGCCGTCTAGAAGGCATTTTAGTTGGTATCGTCACTGAGTGGTGGGGACTCGACTTACCTTGTGCTCCCCAGAGAAAGGTCTCGGTGCTCTTCAATTCTAACACTGACATATCTCGCTTGTCAATGCGGTTTGATCCCCTGACACGGGAACCCCGGGGGCGGATCTCCTGAAGCTCGAGGGCCTGACATAACGAAGGTATTGTAAGGAGCGTGGTCACCACAAGGGTGAAAAATCTAAAAGAATGCATGCTGAAGTGTTCAAACGAGCGCAACAGGTTTACGACTACAGAAAAACCATTTTCATAGGGAGGAACTATCTTATATGATACTTCACTATCACGAGACTCTACACTACCCCGTTGACGATATGAGGAGTTCTATGGGTTCCATGCCGTCTCGGTCAGCCTGAATTGTCATCGTCAAAAGCACCAATAACATATAAGCACAATCTCTTGTACGGACTCTTTGGCCCCCATAGATGTTTATATTAAGATCCAACTCAGAACTTATCAGAAGTTGAAACACATCTCATCTTACTGGGTGTGCATCGGGGGCTCACTATTTCCGTAAGTGGTAAGCGATGTTAAAGCTATGGTCCCGTATTCGGTAAAAGCTCTTGGCCATCACCACACGAGGTAGGGTTCACGCGCGGGCGGTTAAGCGGGAGCTAATGCATTGAAGCAGGGGCGTCAGGACCTGGAAATGAAATTGGGGTAGCTTTTGGTGCTTGTATTTCGTGGTGGCGGCGGAGGGCCTTGGGTCTAGTACGGTACTAAGATCGGAGTCATATATCAGAAGTTGTTACTCCAGAATGATGTTAAGGTAAACGCTAAGAGATATACTATAGGCTAAGCTGCTGTTGTGTAAAAGTACTAGTTAGCAGGAACTTCTAGATAGTCTAGACGAAAGTTAAGGAGAGAGAGCGTATGTTAGCAGCCTCTGTTAAATTGGTTAAGGTAAGACCTGGTCTTACCTAGATAGTAATTAGGGCTGAAAGGGTTTTTTTTAGGTATGATAGACTGACAATATTAGCCATATTCCTAGGCTAGTCGAGTTAGTTTCTTTGGACAAAGTTGAACTCTGAACATGGTTGAACAACTTCTGGCCTATTACTTTATAATAGCATAGAGCTTTGGAAAGTTTTAGAATAAATTGACATCACCCTAGTCTATAAGTACTAATTGTAACATAGATACGCCTTGAGACGATATCCCAGAACGCTGGAATACGCCTCTTTGTTGAAATGATCTTGACGAGCAAGCCGCACGTCATGAACAATTGATATAGCGATAGAGATGCTTCATCTGCCTCGTTGTCGTGCGTGCGTGTTGACACTGATGGTAATGTTGGTCTCGTTGACTAGTTCGTACTTCCCATCCCTATCTGTTGAATGGCAAGAGTATGAGTTATGATTGTGTTGTGAGTAGTAGATGAAGAAGCTAAATTCTACGTACAAGTTGGGATAAGATAAATAGCAAGTAGTGCCAAGCCAGCGCCAGCCAAGTGCTCCTGCTATGCCCCTCCTATGCTCCTGCTAAGCAAATGCAACACTATCCTTGCGGTGCTCCTCGGCAGCCTTGCGGCATCCAGATGTTTCAAGAACATCCTTCATCAACTTACATAAACTGCACTGTGCTGCTGACTCGGACAAATCCGCGAAGGAGGGCTGATGCCTGTACTGATGAGCGGATAGGGTGATACTACGGTAAAGATTGTATAATGGTATGGCTTTCTTGAGGCTTCTAAGTTTTGACCCTGTACACGGAGTACGTTGAAGCCTTATTGTCAAACATAAACAATTTCACGGCCCTCCGAGGGCCGCGGTCCTTTTGGTCAACCACTTGTTTATGATTTCATTCTTCTAAACAGCATTTTTGGTTATTCGTACTATTACATGGTTTTAGGGTGCCCCAAACCTCGGCAGACCACTGCGCCAAAAGGACAGAATGATGCAGTTCTAGTGCATTGCGGAGCACAATACTATTCTTGGCCTTCCTGACAAAATGTGAAGTCTATAAATGTTTATTTGATTTATCTTGAACATGGTTTTGAATTTATATGTCAAGCATATGTCTTGGTTTATTTGATTCAGTTTGATTCAAATGGACACACTATATTCAGACTACATCGCTGTTGCTCTCACTGCTTACCCTTTTACGAACACATTTCAATGAAAACATTTGTCAAGATGTCAAGGGATTCACAGTCGCCTCCCCCTCCCCCTTCCCCCCGTAAACATCTGATAGTCAGATTGAAGGTCCCATCAGGGCAGTTCTGGACGGGCAGTTCTGGACTTGCACTCGTAGGTAGCGTGGTAGGTCTTGTCAACGACATCGGATCTGCCTCATTTGAGTTATTGGGAGCTTGAACTTCAACTTGAATAAAGATCCTGAAATTTACACGGCTTGGCTGTTAGGATTATGGACCGGGCTTGTTTTGGTTTGGAACGTCGACGATATGAGTAGGCGACCTAAACTACGATTCACGGGCGTTGGGCCCCTATCTTCAATTTGATGAACCGACTCGGCGCGATTTCCGTAATCTTCACAATTTCCAACTTCATCTGCATATCGTGCGGCAAACCGGATTGCGCAAATGTTTTGTCTCGTGACTACCGGCTCTTCTTCTCATCAGTCTTGCGTTTTGTTTGCCTCTCCTGTTCTTGAATGGTAAGGTTTGAAAGAGATTTTTTTTGGGAAGCGGGCAACCACCTGATGTCGGCTCCGTACCAAGTGGCTCAGCTCAGTTCATTCCTCCTCATCAATGAACGTTCAAATCTTTGCCTTTTGGTACGCATTTCCTTCCTGGACGAATGAAGTGATTCTGTGTTACTAGGACACGAGAAATAAAACGTCTTGTTGCTGGATACTATTTGGCTTCTTGACCTTGTTTGAGCTCAACTGTAGGGAAGCCGAGGTCGTTTTGGGCCTGGCCTAAGTCCTGCTGCTTCGGACTCGAATGGGTTTGGGCGGTTGCTGGATTGTCATCATTGCTAAAGTCTGACTGATCCCGTCTGGTCATCCTGTCCATTCGTCCTGTCTCCAATTTTCCGGCCGGATTTGTTCGAGGAAAGAATTTCGCTCTTCGGCAGCCATTATATTGCTGCCAACTTATCTTTTGCGCTGCACCTCCCGCGCCTTGTATTGTTACGAGGCGTGTGCCAGGAGGTAGATCGATAAGTGACCAGTCCTTCAGCAAGCCAAGGTAGGCCTCACCAGGACGAGCACGCTCCAACATACGCTTGTTGTAATATTCTGCTTCCTCCAATAATTCCCCGTCATTATCGTCCCACCTCTTAGTAGCGACATTCTTAGGCTGGGCCCACCGTCCTTCGCCTTGGGGTGCTTGAGTCTGCTGAGGTTGTATGGCAGCCTGTTGTCCTTCCCCTCGTAAGATTGGCAGCTATGCATTGCCTGACTTGCGCAACTCCCTCTTTTTCTGTTCATTGTCTCGATGAGTCCCTATTACTCTATTGCACAACTCATGCGAGAGTCCCGCTTTCCAGAATGATCGTCTGAGTTGCTTCTCGTAGCTTAAATCTATATTGAAGTTGAAAAACTCGATTGCGCGGGTTGGTTCAGTGTCGCACTTCTCGAGCTCGTCCTGTGCCGCCATTCTACCTCTACCCCTGCTGAGATGGATGGGATGAGGCTGCAATCTGCGCACAGGAAGCTTATAAGTCCTAGAAACGGGCGCGTAAGACTCCTATTCCGTGAATGCAGAGACACGGAAGAGTTCCGACAAAAGCTAAATTACTCAGCTAACGAGTACCCATGGTTAGTTACACAGTGGTTAAAATATTTGAGGCGGGTATTCGGGGCTTCGGGACACAGCCAGGGGGGGATGGAATAATGGCAGATGCCACAAATCACAATAGATCTCGCCTAGTATAACATTTCCATCAATTATGAAAGAGATTGGACATGATAGAGACATTACCCCGATTTAAAGGGATTCAGTAACTTATTATGATTATCGAGTAATATGATATTAGCATCCAGCACCAGGCGCCAGTTAGAATTGAACTGCTGCAAGTGGCTTTCATCTCCTTGTCAACAACTCTACCATACTTGGAGACATGTCTTTCTTGGCTGTGGAAGGACCTCGCTTGTTCTCAAGTGCTTTGCTGGGTTGCTGTCCTGTGTGGGACTCTTTAGGCGACGGTTTGGGTCTAGCACTCCAAGTCCTCGTTTTGAGACCTCCAGATCGTTGAGTCAAGCTAATAGCATCACGGCTTTTATATTCCTCCTTGTTGAAGTTCTCTCCCAGTATCCGCTCACAGAAATCGATCGGACACCCAGCTTCCCAAAGCAATTCCTGTACTTCGGACTCAAATTGCTTATCGAGTTGCTGGTATGCAATCTCTATGGCTAGCTTGTCGCTGCGGCGTGCAAGCTCCACACCCTCGTCCCGGTCTGTCAATGTCCGGACAAGGTCTCCTATATGACTCTGCGAGAACCCTTAGTGGAGTTCGTTAGCCACATCTTCTACATAAGAAGAGTAGTACCTACCAGCTTTAGACATTCTCACTCTCAATTTCGCCTCGAACTCCAGGTCCTCCCTTTTCCTCTTCTCCTCTAGGCGCTTAATCATCAGCTTCTTGGGATTAACGTCTTTCTCTATAGAATCCCCATCTTCGTGGATGTCATGATTGTGTGATTTACGCCCTCGCTTCTGTGCAGACTCTTCGTATGCGACCTCAGCTCCGTTTCCCGTTCTTCGGTCAGATCTTGCTTGATAAAGATCCAATCATCGTCACTCTCCCACCTCCATTCGATACCGTACTGATCGAGACTCTCTGGATCAATATAACTTCTGTTGATGCTGCGCCTCATTGGCCGCTTTGCCTGGCGGTCGGCCTTCCGTTTTGCCTCTTCTATAACGCCAACCATCGTATCCTCATAATCACCGGCTTCTTCATCGCTGACGATCGTGTCAACAGTTCGATCGAATTTGAATCGAGCTCTTTGGCTATCTTTTTTTGAGTATCTGATAGTGGTTCGGTATTGATCCGAAGATACCGAGCGGAGCCGTGAGCTGTCGCGTTCGTAACTTCGATTGTTTATTTCTGGTTGCTCTCGAGCTCTTGAGCGACCATCCAGGGAAACGGTTACTCCTCCTTGTTCTCGAGAACTTTCCCCCGACGCGGGACTCACCGTTCGATCGCGCCGAATGATAATTTCATCTTGTTTTCGAGGTCTGTGTCTGTCTTTGTACGGGGGACTCTCCAACCGAAGCCGGCGGATGATTATGTCGTCTGCTCGTCGATGTCTTCTTCTATGCGGAGGACGCTCTGATTTAACCGGGCGAGTGATTGCTTCTTCCCCTTGTCGAGATCTTCTCTGTACAGAGGACTCTCCGCTTCGTCCTGGCGAACGATTATTCCTTCTTGTTCTAACTTTTCCTCTAGCTCGGGCGAAGGCGACTTCAGCCGACGTGAGACATGTGCGAGTACGACCGGACCACTTGAAGCGCGCTCGTGGTCTCTGTTGCCTTGGGTAGGCCTAGCGGCGTCCATCAGGTCACTTGTACGCGTTCGAGGGGTAAGCTGTGTCTCATCAGTCGTCAAACAGTCCTGGGGATCTGAGGCTTCGTCTTCAGGATCTTGTTCCACATGCACATCCGAAGCTTTGGGACGTCCCAAATTTGGTGCATTTACAGCAGCTGCCGGACTTTCCACATATTCACTCGTTCGGCTTTCATCACTCACAGTGCTAAGAATATCTCCGTTCTCCAAGGTTTTGTTGGAAGGTTTTGGCTCTTCCCCATCCTCTATTTCCACGGTATGGCTGCGCACCGGTTTCTTCGGCTGTCTCTCACTGTCGGGTATTTGATTATGTCTTTGTTGCGTATATCAGAAGGTGAGAACTTGCTTCTGGTGGTGTCGCTGAGCTCCTGGGGCCTTAGTGCTTTCTCGACCTCCTCCTGTGCTTGTGTTACGTTTATAGTCGACCGAGTTGACTGGCTTGCGCGAAAAGAATCCGTGCCATATCCCTCAACTTTCCGGATTTTGTCGATGTTAGATTCTGTACTTCCACTGCTGGTACTGTCATTCGAGGACTCTCTAGCATCTTCTCGCACATCGAACTTGAGGTCCCACAATGGATGAGTCTCCAAACTGAACCTATTAGGATCTTCTGCCTCTGGATCTCGCGCTGCTGGCTCAACTATTGGAGCGTTGAAATCTTCTTGAATGTCGGCAAAAATCGGCGCTAATGGTAAACAATAAGATTTTACTTCTCCTTCAGCTGCGTCTCCCGACGCCGCCACAATCATGCCGAACGGACGTCCTTCCTTGTTGATGACCCACGAGCCACAATCTCCAAGATCTGGAAGTATTAGGAGATGCAAATAGATCGTGCAATGTCAACTCACCACTTCCGCGTTCAGCAGTCCATACTATTTGAAGTCGATCAGATCCTGGGAGAAGGATCGCCGACGCCGTTCCAGAGAGCTTCGTTACCGACGGTTGAGACACACCACTAGCGCAAAAGACAGACTCTTCCGGAAGAGTCTCAGCAACGCCGCTGACAGACATGTACTGCTCACTTCCAAGATCGACCCAGTTATGGGTTGCAAAGCGCCTGTTCGATATGGGGACAAGAGCCCAATCCTTGTTGCGGTTGTAAAGAATAGGAGCAACGCTGGCTCGTTCGGGATCTTTTATGGTGCCATTGAGAAGCATTCTTGTGTCGGGGGACTGAGCAGAAGTAAGCAATGCATTATCGTAAAGATTCTCAACGATGCCAGCATGTGCATAGACTTCACGTAGTTCAAGAATGCCAGCGCCGATTTTTGAGGTGGAGCTAGACGACCGGTCGTTCTCCTCATGAGAAGACGCCACTGCTCTAGTGGCTATGTCTGGGAAAGCGTGAGCAGCAGTAAGGCCGTAGTACTTGCCATTGATCTCAAGACAGCCTCCGATTTTCGAGTGTGTCCAGGTTGTGCCGGCAGCAGAAACAGATTCGTCAGGTGAAGAAATGATCACACGGAGGCCGCCTTAAGTTGACATTCGACGGCCCCGGCGATGATGGCACCACATTCCCAGCATCAGCACGCGGCCTGATCGTATATTCTGCATAATAGAATTTGTAGGCTCGTAGCAGGGTTCCAAGGGAGCCTTCTTTTAAGTCCTCAAAAGCTTTATATGCCCGTCTCGCAACGTTGATATCGCTGTGTTCAGCGATAATCATTGGAGTTAGCAAACTTACTCGAGGCCTCCGTCCAACCAGGTACAAAGACCATTTTGGCAGCGCAATTACGCAATTACCTTGATCTTTTCTAAAAAGCTGCTCGCGAAAGTTCAGCTGGTCTGATGTTTCAGTGATTGTTGGAAGTACATTGTTCCATTCTTGCTGAAGAGGTCCCGTGACGGCCCAGGCCTTAACTCTCAGAATGGATTTAAGTATCAGCTGGCGCTTAGGTTTTGACTTCGGATCGAAGCAGCTCTCTCTTCCTGCCTCGGACAGCCCAAGCCAGCACGACATGACCCTTGGCAACCTGCTGGCGCTTTCGGTCTTTCCGCCCGGCACAGCACCACACAACGGCGCAGTTTTACGCTATCTTTCTCGAGGACTGTCTCTGAACTTTGTACTGTGGAGAAATTATCGTATTGAGATGAGAAATTCTTCAAGGCTGATCAGTCCGTCTCTTCAAGGTGGCTTGTTGTGCAACTGATCAGGCCAGCCCCCAACCTTCAACTTACTACAGTAAAGCTTCGATATAACGGAACAACTCTTGCCGACCTCTCCTTCCGTTATAGCATGATTTCCGTTATAGCCAATTGGCCGAATAATACGCCGACGCCAAGAAAATGCCAAGATAGGGCCCTGCCGGCGTCAGGATAGGGATCAAGAGAGGCGCCAGGGACCTCCTTGAGCTGAATTTATGTAAAATAGCTAGTAATCTGCTTCTGCTGCTTCCCCTTATAGATCCTGCCTCGTATAGCGACCTCCAAACGCGCTAATTGACGTATTACGCCACTGCTGCCGTCATCCTGTTGCTCCTCGTAGCGCTGTAGCAGTTGTATAGCCTGCATTGCCTCCTCTGACCTAATTGGGATATCCTCCACGGACTCTTCGTCGGTTTCTTGTGCCCTATTGCCCTCCGAATAGCCCTCAACAATGGAATCAAGTATCTCTTCATTACTATCATCCACAACCTCCTTGATAGGGTTCAAAAAGGCAGAAGTACTCATTGTCGACTGAATTCGATTCTGCTCTGCAAGCATTATAGCCGTTGCTTTGATTTGTAACTTAATTTCGTGAATTCTGGCCTCATCTTGAGCAACTGCCTCATCCTAGCCATTTGCTATAGCCATAGATTTGGTAATAGGGCCGTATTTGGGTCCTAAAACACGAGATTTGACCCAGCAATTATCGATAGTTGTATCAGAAACTCTCTCACGCCAAGCAGTAATGCCCTAACGCATTGCTTGAAGTACATGCATTGCCGTATCTGGATTTTTATCCTGTTCGAAATGAGATACTGCAAAGCGCAGCCACTGCTATTGATAGTATGCCTTCCAAGTTCGTATAATACCCTGATCAAGAGGCTGACAAACGCTTGTAGTATTCGCAGGAAGAAACTTGATTCGGACGTTATTTAGGGTATGACCCTTATCAGCAGTAAGATCAATCCCTGCTTGATGAGCTGAAAATCCGTCAATAAGGAGAAGAACCTTTCTATTAGCCATCTTGTTATTAAACTAAATAAGCCATTCAGAGAAGATTAGACCTGTTATTCACGCCTTTTGATTACTCTTCTAAACTAAGTCAAACATATTAATATTAATGCCTTTAAAGCAGTAAGGTTTATTGAACTTACTAATAAATTAAATAGGTAGCTTGTCTAAGCCATCTATATTATAACAAAGATTAGTAGTTATATAACTTTTTGCTTATTTATTACTAATAAGAGTTTTAAATAAGAGCATTTGATCAGGTATTACCTTCTAAAATAGACTAGTTTCATCTATATTATAAATATCTTAAAGCTAATATTTGTCACAAATCTATTATAGCTTTTTTAGATCCTCCTTAAGTGCCTCTTAATTAATCTGCGCTGCTTTACTGTAACGAATTTGTTAACAAATATTGTATTGTTATTTAAATTTATATAGCCATCTATAAGAGAACTTAGGGCATTCTAAAGCAGAGTATTATAGTAAATAATCTTATATCTTATTAGCCATCTCTTAAAGTATCTCTCCTGTAATTATAGCGCCCTTTCACATTATTTAGATCTGAAATTAATATAGAGCGGCTTCAAGGTCAGGGTAAGCAGCTTCGTATTATTAATATTGATTTAAGAGGGTAATAAAGGCGTTTAAATTATTAAGGACATTATATTTCACAGAAATAAACTCTCTAAGAGAAGAAATAGATATAGGCAGATAAGGATGCTTATCTTAATACCATTTCTGCAGAGCACTAAAAGTAGGCCGCTTCTAATGCAATTTATTAAAATAGTACTACCGAATTTCGATTTTTTCGGCATTTGTAATAGCTCGCCGGCGCTTCTTCGACGTCAACGAGCTTCTAAAGGGCGAAAGCGGCGTTATAGACGAGGATTGAGGCATTTTGATACAACGGAAATGGGAGCAAATGCTTACGGAACCGTAGTAAAGAAATTTCCGTTATTTTTGTATGGTAATTGAGTGTGGCGCGGCTAACCTTCCGTTATAGACTGACTTCCGTTAAATAGGGGTCCGTTATATCGAAGCTTTACTGTAATGTGCATAGAAGTACTCCGTACACCGTAGTGACTGATGTGGAGCAGTGGTTAACGGCCAATAGGGCAAAAGCTTACGTAGTAAGCACAGATCGGTCCTCAGCAGGATTCAATCAGAACTGAGGCAGCAACAGCATATGTGAAGCGCCATTCCTCTCTTATTCTTCTTTGAGCACCTAGTAGCTCCTGCTGCAGCGCATAATTTCATACATTCTCGGCTTCCTAGACAGAGATCTTGTTTCAATCATGCTTCTACTTGCACTTTGAGTTCGGACAGAAATAAGTGTATGTGGATGATGCCGTTTCATGGTGCCAGCCTTGCGATCCGATCTCACCAGCCTGATACCTCAGATCTGTACTAGTTCTGCTCAGGATACTTCATCACTAGCTTTGAAGGGGATCTTGTGCTTGAAGGCGAACTACTGGCAGTGCTAATCAGGCTGTTACCGGTCTTTGATAATTTAGGATCACCCTCTAAACCACACTTTGAAAACAAATCGAATGTTTGGCATGACTCGCAGCCTAAGACCTCGCCGAAACCGGCGATTTAGATGCCCTCCTGGTATGGGGAAGACTGCTTGTCAGGAGATCCTCCAAGAGATATGGCAGCTCAAGTGGAAACCAGAGCTTGCACCTCACACTGTGCCACCCAACCCCTACATCGATTATTGGATCAACTGCGTGCAGGAGGCCGATCAGTCGAATCTGTGCTTGGATACCGGAGAATCGCAATGGGCTTGGTTGGGCATGTCAAGTTGGGGTTGCATGAGACATTGCCTGTCCTGAAAGAAAGCATGGAGGGAGTCTACCTAGATCAGGGTGGCAGTCCAGTGACTGTTTCCCGCGAAGATACTGGGACTGCGCTTGCCTTTGCGATTCGATTGTGGTTGCATGTCTGTCCCAAGATCGATTGGAAGTCTCCGCCCTCGACTACCTTGCACGATATTCTTTGAGATTGCATTCCAAAACCAGCAGATCCTAGCACTATCATCGAAGGTCGACTTTCCAACGATTTCTGCGCGAAAAATCTATGGAGAAAAGGGGGCTTAGATGTCCGGTGGACAGATGACATAAGCGAACAACTGCTTCTCCAGGAAAAACACATTTACGTTGTCCGACACTCCAGTTCTCTTCGCGCACTGCTTGAGTGCCCTAGCTTGTTAGCATTCCCTCAGCAAACCCGGTGACACGCGAGACTTCTTCGCTGACAATCCGTTCTAGAGATCCTTTCTCTTCAGGTTTCATCAGTGAAACACTTGACACTCTGTACCTTCTTTATCGACCGCTTGACATCAAGATGTATAGGCGCAACAGACGTCAAATGGATAAGTACATGAAGACTGATCTCGAACTTGCTATGGGCAAACAGGCATCCTTTGATCTGAACAATTATCGGTCCTGGGATAAACGTCTGCGAGTGATACAAGCTGCATATGACAAATCTACTCCTAGAAGTCTGCGACAATGGTGGTTTGATTGACGTGATCGTATCGTCTGGGCAACATTCTGGATAGGTTTTGTCGTCTTTATGCTCACAATCTTCTTTGGACTCATCCAGTCTGTAACAGGCATCTTGCAGGTTTATGTTGCTTATCACCCAGACGTAGTTGAAGCTTGAAGGATCTACTCCATCAAGGGTGACCTATGTCGGCCAGAAGGGCGAGTGCAATTCCGCGATCACGTATGAAGCTGTGTTCGGCAGACAATAGTTGTGAATGATGGCGCGATGTCAGCATAACACCATAATTAGTGGCCAGAAATGAATACTGCGTTGATCCTTTCAGTGGAAGAAGTCCAATAAAACTACATAAGTGGCTATGACACACATCACATCTGGTCGCTGTCTAATGCAGAAGAGATCCAAGAGAAATCATCAAAATCTTACAGCAGATTTCAGCCAATTGATCGAGCTTGGCGGTGCTTTCACATTAGAGAAGAGATTAAGCAAAGCAGATTCATGTGAAAATGGCCAATAAAAGAATGATCGATGGGGTATGTTGATGATGATTAATTCCTTCTCTCGACTGAGTGAGTGGGGCGGATACATACGAACACTGACAAGTGGAGAAGGTTGCGCTAGACTGGGCAACACTGACCTTGGTAGAGGCTGGCCGACTGAGGCTTGTTGCAATGTTGACATGATTGAGCGACGTGGAACAGGCAAGGTTGGATATACTGGGTCCTAGGGTTTGACTGGGAAGGGGTTGGGAGGAGGATAGTATTCTCCGATTCCAGCCTGCCACACTTATGTTACAGTAACATACATAATGACAGCGTGATGATGCAAAGGTCCGTGAAGAGAAGCCCATGACACAGCTCGAACAGCAGCGGCAGATCTCTGAACAGCGGAGGAAGGAGATCATGCAGATACTTAAGAGAACAGAGCAAGCAGCGAAAGGAGCTTGGTAGGACTCGATGACTGGAGCGCAAGCGAATGCACTCTTGTATTCCGGTATCTACTGATGAAGAGTGTAGAGTTGCGAGGGTGAAACCTGTACCGCATGCCGTCAAAGAATATCTCAAACACTTGCGTAAAAGATGAGCCCTGAAAATGACGTTATAAAGGCCGTAAACAGTTTAGCTGCGCATTTGTCATTACAACATCATCAAAAGACGATCAAATGACCTTACCTGATCTTCATATGGATAATTTAAAAAAAAGACACCTAAAACAATATCCTTTCATTGGATCATAAATTTCCTAGGTACAAAATCTATGCTATTAATCTTATTACTCGAGTATTCCTTGTGCTACAGAATGGGTTATCCTATTCTTTCAGAAATAGCATTTTCGCGATCTAGAGTAATCATTCTGTTGCAGTCTTGACAGAAGGAAGGCTGTCATATAATAGAGCGGGTTCCTGGATGGCGGGGTCACAGGGGGTGTAAAATTAGCCAGCCTCGCACATTTCGTAAATTGCTAATTAATGTTTTCGCATTGTGTTTGAAAGACCCAAGCTACACAACACCCTCTTATTCTGGATCCTCTGGCCTTCCACCCTGCTTCACGACTTGACACGCCTCTCTAGCCAGCAACCTCAAAACCAAAAAAGCCAGACACATCATACCTTTCGCCTGCCACCCCAGCCTCGTTCTGCACCAAACGGTATGCCTTGATGGCACTGTTAGGGCTTGGGCCGCCATCATGGATGTATTGCCAAACGAGTTGGTGTCTTGCATAGTTCAGTGCCTGAGACCACAGGGTTCGCCAGTTGCCATCCCAGCGAGCCATGAGGTCACAAAAGCCTTGCTAAATTTGACACTGGTGTCTTCGACCATGCGCTGTTTGGCACTTCCACAGGTATACACTTATTGCATGTACATTGATTCTCCTTCTCGGTTAACGCTCCTACTACGTACTTTATCTAACCATGCGGGATGCATGCAAGAAAGACACATGTTGCCCGGCAGGAGACGGCTTAGACCTTGCATATTTGATCTTGGCCCCTCGGCTCTGAAATCACTATTCCTTGCGCCTTGCACTGTATTCCGCATCGATGACACTCTTGTGATCACCATGATAGAGTCGCTCTTTGAGCTTCTATCAACTTCCCTTACTCGTCTAGTAATGGACATGTCCCTTGACGGGGTTTTCCCACCCTTGGAATGCCATGACATTCGTTCGACTCTGCGCCATGCTTTCAAACGACTTACTGCCATCGAAGAATTCATCAGCATCAGAAGCAATCTGTATCTGGACAGTGGAAAGATTAGATTATATAAACTGGGCCATGATCCTCCTCTTCCGCCATTGTGGCCAAGGCTGAAACGCTTGGCTCTTTACAATCAAGATATTGATATTCTCGAACTTATGAGCAGCATGGGAAAGATGCAGAATCTTGAGGTCCTCGTTCTTACTCGTCCGGATGGGAAGCAAGACGCTTTGACGTCAAATCTTTTGACAGCCAAACCCCTGAAGCGTGTACTTATCGTCAACACCGCACGCTGGCTATATCACAGACCCATCTTCACTGACTACCCAGAAAAGCTGGTCGAAGGGAGCTCACACGCGAATGAACTTGCCATTGTAGCCAGGATTTATTTGACCATCGACGGAAAACCATTCGACCAGTCGACAAGGCTCGCGGAATTTCTCGACTATACACCATCAATGGCCGAGGTCAGATTGTGCCAGGGTTGGACAAGGGACAACGCAATTAATGGACAATTGTGGGACTTTGCATAGCCACTGCTACCGAAGATGAGGATGCTCGCTCAGTGTACAGGTATGTGTGCGAGGATCGGGTCATCAAGTACTACAGCAGTTGAACTAGCTTAAACAGCTTTCGCTTATTCTTTGCTAGGCCAGCAGATACGATCTGCCATGATCCAATTTAGTAGCCTCTTCCCGAAAGCTCCAGTACATGCCGGAGGCAACAATAGATCAATGTACCGGCAATCAACTGGGCAACTACTACTCTGCTATTTCCTCACCTGTACGAAATTGCTTGAAATAGTCTATTCTTAACGTTCTTTGGTGTCGCCAAAGTATTCCAGACTTGAGTAAATGTTTCGTCAGATCTTGAAACAATCTAGATCTGTGCTGTGTCAATTGAGTACAGCGGATCAAGCTGTCTCCATCTGAATAGATCCTCTTTGATACTGCTCGTGAACTGAGACCTCGCACAAAGGTCGACTGGGCCACAATTACCGCCAAATGAACTTGCGGTACTTCGTGAGAGGTCAGTAGCCTTTGTCCTCTGGTGAGATGAGCAAAATGATATGATATCAGATCATGGATCGATTTGAGGGCACACGGCACCCTCCAGCTACTTCTGTACAGGAGACGCCCCACTTCAATCCCAGTGTGGCCGCGAGCATCGATTTGGGACATCCCGAACCCGGTAGGTCAACCCAGAGCTTGACTCCACCAGAAAGCCAACCGATATGTCCTAAGTCTCCAAACTCCAATAACCAAGCGTCTGAAGCCTGATTCCCTGGATGGAGAAGCAAAAGAACGGGTAGAACCGGAGAGGACCATCTCACTTTACAACCTCTCTATAGAGGTAGATTATAAGACTTCGTTTCTGCCAGTCAGACTTTAATGTTGGTGAAAGGTAAACCAGACAATCAAAATTTGCATACTCTACAATATACGGAGAACAGGAGATCGGGTGTAACAGGAACTCGATAGGGAGGACAAAGAGATAGAGCAGCATATATCAGAAATAGTCCACTCTATTTCATCCCTCCAGCGATTAATGCCTGTGATATTCGCTTCCCAGACGAAAATATTGTCACTGATGGTTGCCTCTCCATCTTAAGGCCCTCGACATGAATGGACAAACATTCTGCTAAGACAGTGTCAGAAGATCACAGCCTGACGCAAAAGAGACGCGCAAAAGACGAACAAAAGACAGAGTCAATGTGGTGAATGAAGTTGTATGAATCTAACATGCCCGAGGGCGCCGAAGGGCATCTACTCTAACTAGCTATCTTGGCAGGCCATGCTGGCCCTGCCATGCAGGTGCATGACGGCGCATGACAGACAGGCTTTGTGGAGATAAACGGCGTCTTCTTTGCTTTGTAGTTAGCCTTGGTCCATAAGCACTAGTGTGAAGTCGGCCTTAACCCTAGATATCATTTTGAGACAGTAAGCATAGTGTTAGGGCTCAACTGGTTAAGACAAGTCTCAACTAGAAGCTGGGTCCAAGTGGGTTGGTTGGGTAGAACAGGAAGTGCAGTGAACAATACTAAGATGTCTTCAACTTAGGTATGAGCTGATAACATGAGTTGACTACGAAGACTATGAAACTATCTGGGAAATAAGCGTGCTTATATAGACCAGAAGATTCGTGCTCAGAGTTGATCATCCTGATCACCCCTGATCATTGCTCATGAGTGCTCATCCTGATCACCTCTGATCATTACGCTGTCTCCAGGTCTGACCTTGTGTGCAGTTCAGGGTCCAGTCCTGTCCAAGTCTGTCATAGTTCCTTCGCAGAGCGCCAGGCAGCTCTGTAGTGCCCGTCTGTGCTTGGCGTGTTCACGTGCTATAACACATAGAAAGCAGCATTTATAGGCTAAACTTTTTTAATTACTCAGATTGCTCTCTTAAAAAACTATTCATTATAGAGCGTCATTATCTTGTTATAACCCTAGATCTTTAAGTTCTTAATAATAGGTTTAAGAGAATTATAATAAAGATTAATATTTAAACTAGGAAATACCTTATAAAACATATTTTTTATAGTATAATAACATAATTTAAGAATAGAAATCTCTTAAAATCTATTATTTAACTTCTATAATACTGAATCTAATTTAACAGAAGTATTAGTCTTTAGTGATGTTATTTTCTGGTTTTTATTTATAATTATAAGACTATAGTCTTTTTTATCGCTAACAACTATTATTTTTTGTAAGCTTAAATACATCTGAGATGAAGTTCTTTCTAATTAGGACTAGTATTTTTCACTTAGTTATAATCTTATTCCTAATAAAAAAGCATACTTATTTAGTAATATAAAAGATATTAGTATAAGAATTAAATTTATTAAATATAATCAAATATCATCTTTTATATATCTTTTTTTATTCCTATTTAGTACTTTATAATAATTTAGTTCTTTCTAGGATATTAATCACTCTAATTAAAATATATCTCTCTTATTGTCCGCACAGACAATAGCATTCTATTGTCTATTTGTTTTTCCTATCTTATTCTTTCTGTGTAACTTCTGTTCAGATGTAAGCATACGTCCTTACATCTCATTACTCTCGCGGAGGTTTTCCTACAGTCATGGGATATCCTTGCTGAGAAATGAGGAACCAAGCCTTTTTGTCTAGGTATGAGATCCAGGAATTCCCGTTTTAGCGCAGACACATGTCACACGACTGCAAAGTAAAACCACAAACCTATGGCCACCTGGGGTTGCCTACGGCACTTCAATACCTGCAGTCATCCGAAAGAGTTGTTGCTGCCCGAGCACGGAGTCGGATCAGAAGAGGACACGTCAACAACTCCACCGAAAGGACAGCGCTTGTGTGTTTCGAACCACACTTAATTGACGTATCCCCCCTGACTAGATCCGCGGAATTTGTACCCAGCAGTTGTTCCGTCGCATCAAAAGGCAGCACACAATCTGATACATCATTCACCCTTGCACCGTAGCCTCCGCCTCCGACTCACTTAAACTGATCTCACAACTTAGTGGATTATGGCTCAAGATAATGTAAGAAGTTCTCGAGTAAGAACTAAAAGCAGAGTGATTCGATGATAGAAGTCCCGCACAGAATACTAGATAATATTTGTAAAAGTCACGCCGCTTGCTGGTCAATCTCAAGCAACGAATCCGCTTGACCATAATACGCATCCTTAATCAGCGATTTAGAGATGGTCACAAAGCTGTTTCTCTCCGTTAAGGAAGTCCAACCAATGTAGGTAGTGAGATTGACATGGCGACATCCATCTACACTGACATGGAGTTGTCAGTCACATTTGTTTCTGTCATTTGCAACATCCTCGCATATTCGGATTCGCTTTTATGCGCCGCATCTTGATTAGGATTCGCTTCTTCATAGAGCAAGAACTTGATGAAGCGATAAAAGCCCGATGCAATACAGGCGCCGAGGACCGGCCCGAGCCAGTAGATCCAATGGTGTCCTGGAAACGAGCGCGTTGCAACGTGCGGGCCAAAGGAACGGGTAGGATTGAGGGAAGCGCCGGTGAAGTAGACCCCTTTTGACGAAAGGCAAGCTTAGCACTTTCGTGTTACGCGCAAGACCCAATGGAAGGAGCACAGGGTAGTATAGATAAACTTACCACTCAAGTGAGCCACAAATAAAGCCAGACCTATTCCCACTGGTGCAATGAACGTTGTCTTTGATTTCTCCACCGCAAGCATAAGGATGGTGATGACAAGGAGGGCCGTTAGGAACATTTCAATGAACAGGCCCTGGACGACAGACGTATCATGGCTGAGAGTGGTAGCCACGCTCATCGGACCCGGAAACATTGCCGAGACCAGAGCAGCCGCGACCATACCGCCGAGCATCTGAGGCACAAAGAGACATGCACCGCGGGCCCAGGGTAAAGCGCCGCTGATAACGAGAGCTAAGGTGACCTGTTTCACAGTATGTATGCCTTAGCTTTCTGATGTCCTGAAGCAAGGTATGGAAAAACACACCGCAGGATTAAACAGTCCTCCACTAATCCGATAGAAGACCCATACGTTTACCATGAGAGAAAAACCAAAGGTCAGAGCAAGAAACATAACTTGCAACGCTTGAACTGCCTCCGATGGGTTTTGCACTGGTACAATCGTATTGATGACTTGTGCACCGCTGAAAGCAAACCAAAGGAACAGGGTCGTTCCAACGAATTCGCCAGTCATGGCAACAAAGTGCCTACGCTGTGTAGGGTTCATATAGGCAATCTTCTGCCCATAATTGACCGTAGAAGACTGGTTTTGTGGAGTGCGTACAGCCTCCCCAGGGGGATGTGAGCCCTCCATATCAGGTTGAACGATCTCGCGACGAGATGAGTTATCAGAAAGACAATCTCAAGTGAGGAGAGAAGATGTCTGCAACCGATATAGCACTCGACCTCAATTTCCTTGAGAGAACAAAAAGGGGGAGCTCAGGAGTCTAGTAAAGGGTCACACTGCGCACCTCATATACTGCTTTCCCTTACTCCACCTTGTGCTAACGCTATACAAGTACCCCACTTCTTACCCATCCCTTCCTCCTCAGTGTGCTGAAGCCATGTCATGGATGTAACGAGACGAGACCCGATACTGCAATGATTGATTGAATCGTCGGACCCTCGAGCATTGGCAACGTCAGGCTCTCATGACTCGACCATGTAACACTGCAGCAGATAGACCTTGTGTTGTCTTCGTAAAGCTCAGGTATGATACGTGGGTATAAAGAGTCAAGCCTGACTTACCCAAGCGCCGGCATATCATATAGTTGGCCGTTATCTGTCAACACCTCGGACATGAAGCAGTGCTCCCCCACGCTTGAGTGTGATTGAAGGAGTAGAAACGCTGTGCGACATAACATGCAGCCGCTATTTCTCTTGAATACATCACGTGCAGCAAACGGAGAATTTGAAGAGAAATGACAGTTGCCTACAGCAGAACCGCAGACCCGGTTGAACGATAAAATCATTATTTCTTGGTGTGAGCCGTGAAATCTTTCCTCTCCACAATGCTATTCTGAGAAGGAAGTGAAGAATGAAAGCTAGCTAAAAGACCCACTTAATACGAACATAACAAATATAGAACATCCATCACTTGAATTATTTTGACTCATGAACCCAGCTCAACTTGACAGTCAGCACAATCGGCCCTATTCCCTTGGTCGGCGGATAGCGGATGGGAATGCCATCAATTAGTGCTGTCGATCTTGTTAATCTAACATATTGTGAATTGTGAAATTCTTGCAAATCTTGGCGCTATCCTCAAATTGCTGGCGCCTGTTACAGCACGTGAATACGCCAAGCACCGACAGGCACTACGGAGCTGCCTGACACTCTGCGAAGGAACTATGACAGACTTGGACAGGACTGGACCCTAAACTACACACATGGTCAGACCTGGACAACGTAATGATCAGAGGTGATCAGGATGAGCACTCATGAGCAATGATCAGAGGTGATCAGGGTGAGTACTTATAAGCAATGATCAGAGGTGATCAGGATGATCAACTCTGAGCATAAATCTCTTACTCTATATAAGCACGCTTATTTTCTAGATAGTTTTATAGTCTTTATAATTAACTTATATTATTAGTTTATATTTAAGTTAAAGATATCTTAATATTATTTATTATATTTCTTATTTTATTTAATTAATTCTTTAGACTTAACTTTTAATTAAGACTTATCTTAATTAATTAAGCTTTAATATTTTAATTATTATTTTTAAAAATACTAAATATAATTAAATAAATATTATATACGTTATCTAAGATATATACTATATTAGTAGCCTTAGGACTTACTGCTACTATTAAGGGCTAAGGAAGAAATATATAGTTTAAGGTTACACTACTAGATTTCTTTTATAGAAATTAGAAGAGACTTTAAGAATTTTTAAACTAACTAAAAATTAATTTTTTATTTTATATATAAGTAATAAATATAAATGAAAAGAAAGTATTATATATAATTATCTTTCTTTAAGGAGCTATATATAATTAGTTTAAGCTTTACTTTAAGGATAAGCTTAAGAAAGTATTAAAGAATTAAGAACTAAATATATAATAAATCTTCTATAGCTTTACTAATTTTATAATTAAAATTAAGCAAGTATATAAGGATATAGATATAATTAAGGAAGCTGAGCAAGACTTACTAAGAATAAGACAAAGAGGATCTGCTGCAGACTACGCTTCTAAGTTCTACTAGATCGCCTTACAAGTCGACTAGGAGGATGCTGTATTAGTAGTCATCTTTTACAAAGGACTAAAGGATCTAGTAAAAGATGACCTATCTAAGATTGACTAACTAAGTAAATGATTACCTCTGATTAAGATAGTAATTAAAATAGACAACTAGAATTATAAAAGACAACTTAAAAAAGGCCAAAAGAAAAACTATATTACATTTTTAATATAATACTAAGCTAATATATAATATCTAAAACATAAAACCCTAGGGCATTATCTTATAAGACGAAGTATACTAATAAATCTGGACGCAACTAAAAAAGGGAAGAGACTAGGATTATCTAAGAAACGTTAGGATAGAAAGAGCAAGTAAAGAGTTTCTAGAAAACAATAGACAGA